TCCTGAGATGGGTTAATCTATAACCAATTTCTTGAAGCTGCGTCGATGCATCATATGGTGGATCCATGTACCGGGCCTGAAGGTGCCTATACACCTTACATATATCGCCGGATTTTCGTATGCGATCGCATTTTAATCCGATATTCGTAAGGTTGATGGGCAGTGTACGACCGCAAATATTGTACAATCGTACCACATTTGACCAACCAGCAGGTTAGAAAACTTTGGTCGATCGTATGATTTTCGCAAGGTTGGTGGCGTTTCCGTACGTCAAAATTCATACCATCTACACTGCACATGCACAGACGAAAATACATGCGAAAAGTGTCGTCCGATGATCGCAAGGTGTATGGGCAGCCTAAGGCTGTTCGATCATCGTACGAACAGCCCATACACCTTGCGATCATCGGACGACACTTTTCGACCGATGATCGAACCGTCGTACAACTTTCATACAGCGTCTCCATCCTTCCCCGATTATCGCAATGTTGGATCAGCGGTAATTAGAAGAAAGCACCTGGACAAATTGCGGTAATCGACCGCACGTATCATCGTCTGCCCATGTGCATTGTAAATCGTATGAATTTTTGCGTACAGAAACGCCACCAACCTTGCGAAAATCTTACGATCGACCGAAGTTTTCTAACCTGCTGGTTGGTCAAAAAGTCGATCGATTGTACAGTATTTGCGGTTGTACACTGCCCATCAACCTTACGAATATCGGACAGAAACGTGATCGCACACCCAGGAATGAGCTTTTAACCAAAACGAGCTTTAGGGCAGGTTCACACCATTTTCTGGACCAGATCTGGAATGCAGTGTATTCCATTTATACAGCGATTTTGCCGCGTTTGGAATTTTTTTTTTTGCTTAAAATGGTGCATTCCAGTGCATTTGTATGCCTTTTTGATCAGTTTTGATGCGTTCCAGTGCATTCCAGACCAGACAAAATAGGACAAGCAGTATTTTTCTGGTCTGGAACGGACTGCGCTGGTGGGAACAGAGGCCAGAAATAGCATAGGGATACATTAGGGTGCATTTTGGGTCTGGAAACAATCTGCAGATGATCCGGACATGGTGTGCATGGGCCCTTAAGGTCAGTGTTGACTGACACCATAGAATGTATTTAGTTTGACTTCCTGTACATACATGGAGGAATACTCGCCTCTATATACTACATAGAATTTGCAGGCTTACCTATGAAAGATTACATTTATCCACTTATTTAACATTGAAACTGAATTCCATTCTTACCTTCAGTCTTGCAGGCTGCTCTCCTGTACTGAACATAATTAATATTATCCAAGATTCATATAGCGCCACCAGTTTGTGCAGTGCTTTACAAAATAAAGTGAGACAGTACCGTTACAACACAATTTAAGTCAATTGTGAGTTGATGGAGAAAGTAGAATGTAATTTGATAGGTAGAGGTGGGTTAGGCTTCCCTGAAGAGATGAGTTTTTAGGGATCCCCTTAAAATGGACGGATTAGGAGATAGTTTGGCAGACAGGTTGGGGTAGGGAGTTCCAAAGGAGGGGAGAAGCTTTGGAGAAGTTCCGGTGGTGATCATGGGAGGAGTGGACGAGGTATCTAGCTTATGCTTCCATTTCTCTTACCTGTAGGATCTGATAAGTGATACTTTTATGCCCCTTCTGTATACCGCTTGTGTTAATAGCATAAGGTCTGGCAGTTCACAGAGTAGCAATTGTCACACTAGTGATCCTGTCTCTAGCCAGAATAGGAAGGCTAAAGTCTGCAGGGAAAACACTCACCTGCTTGCACCTGCTTGCTCCCTCTCCAGCTTAATGATCAAGACTTCACTCTCATGCTGAAAAAAAATGCTGCAAAATGTAGGTTGCCAGTGAGGGCCTCGCTAATAAGCTGGCAGGTTAGAGAGATACAATCAGGTCAGTGTTTTTTTGCCCTTGGTTAATTGGAGGAAAGCAGATTAGAAGGTAAGTCTGTTGCAATGTTTAAAGTGACACTAAACTCAGGAGTTCAATCTTAAAAAATGCATTCAAGTATCTTATTAACCAAAATGTAGCTTATTTGTGTATCACTCACCCATATAGCAAGGACAACTTGACACAACCTTGTGGTAGGGTTAAATTGTAATGTAAACACACATTCCTGGCAAGTTGTAGACTTGCAGAACACACGCAGCACAAGTTCTAGTTGACACTTTTTGAATGTGTAGCAAATTTGCTTGGCAAGTCTACAGCAAGAGTCCTGCAGGTCTTAGCAAGAGCTCTGCAAGTGTACAGCACTTTTGCAAAGCACGTTGATCTGGAGGCTTGCTGTAATTGTGCAACAAAATTGCGGAGCTTGGCAAGTCTAGCAATAGTTTAGCAAGTCATTTTATAACTTGCAGCTCAATTGCTTGCTATCTGGGCAGCTGTAGATCCTCAAATCATCTCTGAAATGGTGCGAACACTGTCCTTCCTTCTGGAGAGGGGCTACTTTTGTTCCCCATGGTCCCAGTGTGTGTTGTAAAGTAGCCACCACTTCAAGCTCGACTCGACAGTCGGCTTTACACATGTAAAAATAGCCGTCAGTGGCAGCAAAAGGGTTAAAGGCTGCCCAGCAAATAGTTTTAGAGACAGTGGTTAGGACAAACCTAAAAAACTAGAACAAAAGTGTGTAAAGTATTACAGTTGATCTTTAGGCCTCGTTCACACTAGATACAGTGCGTTCCGGCCCGATTCTGGCCAGAACACACAGCATCGCATTGCGGCCTGCTCACTATGTTGTAGGGCAGGAGGGGCGTGGCGGTCCATTTAAGTGAATGGCACCGTAGCCACACCCTCCGGCCGCAATGCGATTGGCTGCACGGGAACGCAAGGCACATTATGCCTGCGGTCTGGTCCGAACAAAATGCTGCAGGCACTATTTTGTGTGGACCGGACGACCCCTCCTGCCCCACAACATAGTGAGCCGGCCAGAATCGGGCCGGAACGCACTGTGTCTGGTGTGACTGAGGCCTTAGAAATCAGCCAGAGACAGAGTAGAGGAGCCTGTTTCTTGCTATAATGATGCATAGAAGAACTCTTGCTTGCTATGCGAAAGCAGTGATCTCTCTGCACGTGTCTGATATGCCCCTTGCTGGGTCAGAGCCAGAGCTCTCCTATCAGTAACATGAGCTTTGCTGGTCTCTGCACTATAGGAATTTAGAGATGCAAACACTTCTCCAATTAGATGCTATAAAAATGTTTATGATAAGACCAGAGCTCTTTAATAAGTGAAAGTGCAGTAACCCATAGCAACCAACCAGTAATTGTCTATCATTATTCTGACTGGTCAGAACATGTGTAAGGTAAAATCTAGTTGCTTAGCTCATCGTTGCTCCTTGCAATGCCGTCAGTACTTTGTTGTAAACCTTCCCTTATTTGCATACTTCATCTGTAAGACAGATGAATGCTTTTGTCAGATACTTGCATAACTACTTGTTTAGTTATAGTTGGAAAATTAAACCTGGCACATAGAAGTTGCATTATGAGTATTGGAGTTAGGAGTAAAGTTACAAAGGTGAGCAGAGCTTCCTTTCCAGGTACATGTCATAAATCATGCATGAGAGCAGATCAGAGACTTGCCCATACACACTGTGTCCTGACTTTTACTGAAGCACTTGCAGGCCAGCCTTCTTGCTATCCATTTATCTGAAAGGGCAGTTATTGAATGGAGGACTTTGTTCCACTTATTTGTATCGTACCTTCTGGTGAAGCAATATACAAGACATTTTATTGACCTTTTTTATGATTATTCTGTTTAGAGCAAACATGAAACACCTGTACAAGCTGGAACAGATTTTTTTTTTCTGGCCTAATTGGTTAATGCGGGAGGAGATGTACAGTACAGAATGGTACATTAGTTCTAGGCTTGTGACAATCACCAAGCTTGTTATGGACATGGCGTTTTGGCACCAATAACATTTCCTGCATATGGTTTTCAGCACACACTTATGCTTTTAACCCCTAACCACCACGAACAAAATCCAAACATCAAAACATACAAGTGAAATAAATATACATATTTACCATTTTAAGGAATTGAAATGCTGTACAGCCATCCTTGTGATTTGCAGCACTGGCATCCTTAGTTCAAATCCTGACCAGGACACTATCTGCATGGAGTTTGCATATTATCTTGTGCTTGTGTGGGTTTCCTTCCAGACTCCAAAGATATGCTGGTAGGTTAGTTGGTTCTTGTCTAAATCGGCCATAGTATGTGTACCTGTGAGATTGGGACCTTAGATTGTAAGTTCCTTGAGGGCAGGGACGAATGTGAATGTGCGGTATGTAACGCCCTGGGTAAATTGTGAGCAGCTGTCAGATACCCGTAATAAATAAAATCTAGAGATATATAAAACTACATGTCTTTGATTTTCATATTTGCCTAAGTCAACGTGTGTTTTAGGTTAACCTCCTCAGCGGTATTCCTGAGTGTGGCTCGGGGTTAATTTTCTGTACCGTAAGCGGTAACCCCTAGCCACACTCGGGAATACACAGCGCGTCTCTTACCTTCTTCCTCGAGCCACGCTGTGTCCTCCGGCCGATGCCGGCATCCGTCTTCCGGGTTCCGTCCCTTGTGATCGTCTGCGTCGCAGGGGGGCGGAACTGGTGGGAGATTAAAAAGTTTTTTTTAAAAATAGAACCAAAAAAGGAAAGAAAAAATCATACCGCCAGGGAGGTTAAATACATAAAACACAATGGGGAGAATTTATCAAAACTGGAGCAGACAAAATCTGGAGCAGTTGCCCAGGGCAACCAGTCGGCTTCTCTCTTCATTCTGTTCAGTTAAGCTTTGAAAATGAAAGGTGGGTGCTGATTGGTTGTCATGCATAGCTGCTCCAGATTTTGTCTGCTCCAGTTTTGATATATTCCCCTGAAGTTGTTTTGGTGCATTACCCCTGAAGTACTGACCATGAATAATGTGTGTGTATTCCTAATACAGTACTGTGTTGCTTTATAAAACAGCACAACAATGTTTCTTTTTATTAACAGCAAGTGACGATGTTCGAGAAACCTTTGCCAAAGCCAGAAACGGAAAATACAGACTGTTGAAGCTGGATATCGAAGATGGTTTGTAATGCAGTTGCTATGTTCTGTCTGCCATCAATACAAAGTACACTGGCTTAAATATATATTCAGATAAATGCAGCTTCCCTGCATCCTAAAAAGAAGTGTGTTATAGTTTT